TTTTTTTTACTAAAATGCTTTAATCAAATTCCGAAAGTCAGGTCGTCAACTTAACGAGTGTTGACTTTGGTTCCCACTGTAAATATCATCGTGCATAGCTCAAAATTGTACATCACAAAAAGCTTGCAAAATAGAATAGAAACAGAACAGATGTTTTTCCTTTTTTTTTTTTTTTTTTTTACTAAAATGCTTTAATCAAATTCCGAAAGTCAGGTCGTCAACTTAACGAGTGTTGACTATGGTTCCCACTGTAAATAAAAAGCTATCATCGTGCATAGCTCAAAATTGTACATCACAAAAAGCTTGCAAAATAGAATAGAAACAGAACAGATGCCGGCTTTTAAATGGGTATACATACATACATACATATATTGTGTATATATGTGTTGATTCGTATACGTGCAGATGTATGTATGAACTTAAAATGTTTTATGTTAGCATACCACTAATTTTGTGTGTCAGAGGAAAAAAACAGAAAGTGGACTTTGTACTAGTCGCACTCTCTCCAATTGTCAGTCCCTCTCTCTTCTTTTCTGTCTCTTCACTGTCCCTATCGGGAACAGCGCATGTGCCAAAGCACATATCAGCAGGCAAATGCTGCCCTGTTGCAGTTGTATGGCCCGCGGCAATGTTTACAGCTTGGTAGAGGTCAAACCACAGATAGCGCGGAATTGCACTGATAAAAATGCGAAATGCGTTTACTGCATGGTTGGCGAAGAGCGAGAGCCTGCGCAATGTGAATGCTAAGTACATATGTATGAATGTAGGCATGTATGTATATTTGCATATTTGCGCTCTCTTGTTTACATTTTTGGTATTCCAGACTTGTTTCTACAGTACCCGCACAATAAATAATAAGAAGCAATAATAATATTAAGAAGGAACTAGAAATAGAAATTGGAAATGTGCGATATTTATCTAAATTTATCTAAACCTATATTTATATGTATATATTAGAACTATACTAATGCCAATATTCATATGACATTGCTCAACAATGGCAACAAACAACAACAAAGTGTACGATATTATCGTATTCGTCCAAGAAACAGTAATCTGGGTAGCCTTCATGGTTTGTTTGTTTGTCACTCACTTGCTCTCAGAGGCAACGACTGCAGCTGTATATGTGGGCGCCCACTTGTGTGGCTCTCTCTCTTCTTCTCTTTGATTCTCTCTGCTCTGTCGTGTGTGTAAATGGATTGAATATGTTTTGAGCACGCTCTCGTTGGTATCACTGTAGGACGCGTCGCCACAGCCGATGCCTCTGCTGCTGCTGCTGCCTTCGTCTCTCCATCGGCTGAAAGTGCGATAAAGAAAAATCGAGACTGGCGAGCCAAACGAGAAAAGTGAATGTTGTGTCGCGAATTGCGTTCACAAACCTTCCCAACTTCGCATAGGTTGGGCGTCCCAAACAGTCGCTCCGTAACTGATAAAAAAGCGCACTAAATACACGAGCTTTACCACCAAGAGAACAAAAATAAAAAATTAAAAAATTAAAAAAAAAAGATAAAATTGTATATAAACACATACACAAATATAACTGTACAGCGCAATCAGTGGAAAAGTAAGTTTAGCGAAACCAAATGCAGTAAATGCAGTGTAATACGTGTGCATTTAAATGTATACACATACATACGCATATGTGCATAAGTATTGTGTAAGTGTATTGTATGAGCAAAAAATGTGAATATTAAAACTATTTGCAAGAGTGCAGAAATCAAAAGTAAATTGTAACATTGAAATGACATCTCTTGCGCAAGTACTTCAAATCCATTATCCTTGAACTTTACGTATACACACATTATATATACATGCACAGAGTGCCGTGTACCTTATCCTTGTAGACTACTTCAATCAAGCCTAAACGTATCCTTTTCCTCACTTATATACAGGCATCACTATGGCATTCCGTGTGGCTGGACTCTTTCTGAAAAGGGAGCTGGCAGCTCCTGCGGCACAGCAGCTGCGCCTGATGCGCACTTCCAGGGTAGCCAACGCTCAGTTCCTGGTCAACTCGCCCAATACAGTTCTAGATAAGAGCATCCTGTTGCGGTACCGTAATCTTGAGACTCCTGCTAATCGTGTTCAGGCCACATACCTCTGGATCGATGGTACTGGAGAGCACATCCGTCTTAAGGATCGTGTCCTGGACAAAGTGCCCACCTCAGTAGATGATCTGCCCGATTGGCAGTACGACGGCAGCTCCACGTATCAAGCGCATGGCGAGAATTCGGACACAACTCTGAAGCCCAGAGCCGTCTACCGCGACCCCTTCAAGCCAGGAAAGAATGATATTATTGTCATGTGCGACACATACAATGCCGATGGCAAGCCAACTCCCTCCAATAAGCGCGCCGCATTCCAGGATGCCGTTAACAAAATTACAGAACAGGAGCCATGGTTTGGCATAGAGCAGGAATACACATTGCTCGATGTCGATGGTCGTCCCTTTGGTTGGCCCGACAACGGTTTTCCAGCTCCACAAGGACCCTACTACTGTGGTGTGGGTGCCGATAGAGTATATGCCCGCGATCTCGTCGAAGCGCACGCTATTGCCTGCCTATACGCTGGTATTGACTTTGCAGGCACCAATGCAGAGGTGATGCCCGCACAGTGGGAATACCAGGTAGGTCCCAGCAATGGGTTGAAGGCCAGTGATGATCTCTGGGTGTCGCGCTACATTCTGCAGCGTATAGCTGAGGAGTACGGTGTAGTCGTTACATTCGATCCCAAGCCCATGGAGGGCCAGTGGAACGGAGCGGGTGCCCACACTAATTTCTCGACAAAAGCGATGCGTGCCGATGGAGGCATGAAAGCCATTGAGGAGGCCATCGAAAAGCTAAGCAAGCATCATGAGCGCCACATCAAGGCCTACGACCCCAAAGAGGGCAAGGACAACGAACGTCGGCTGGTCGGACGACTGGAGACCTCAAGCATCGACAAATTCTCATGGGGCGTGGCTAATCGTGCCGTCAGTGTTCGAGTTCCAAGAGGCGTGGCTACAGCCGGAAAAGGTTACCTTGAGGATCGTCGTCCCAGCTCCAACTGTGACCCGTATGCCGTATGCGGCGCGATAGTGCGTACGTGTCTACTGAATGAATAGAGCAGCAGACAAAATTCGTCTGCTCTGCTATTTGTGGGCGTTCAAGATTCAATGATGTATATACGAACATAGTTGAAGCAGCAGCAGGTGGACGTTCCATCTGTACAGTTTGCCTATATTTTGACTTTGATTAAGATGAAGAACTATTTTTTGCTTGCGTGTGTAAAAAGACAACAGGTTGAAGAACAGAAATAGGAGGTTAGCATTTAAGTAAACGAAGTAAGTGATGATGGAAATTGAATACAACGGAACCTAAAAACTGAAACTGAAATTCAAATGAAATGTTATTCTGCCATAGTTATTTTTAGAAATTATATATAAATAAAAATTGCTTTGTTTATTTTTTATAATTTATGAAATCTTGTATTTTAATTTGACTGCTGCAATTATCTTGATACATAATATACAAATTGTATTTGATTATATTTTCATTTCATTTCATTCAAACAATATTTACTAAAAAGTTTGGAAACTGTGCTTGTTATCGCATTTAAAAAAGGAAAAAATATTCGTAACGTTTATGATTGATTGTGTGGAATGGGTAATTGGAATTTTTTATATATGTGTTTAGAAAATTCTTACTAATCGCTGTTGAGGCGTCGTTGAAATTAGATTTATGTATTTGCACAGGCGTACAAGTAAATACTCTCTCAGATGTTGTAGTCTACAATTTGTTAAGTAATCAAATTTATTATAATATTAATCGTTGACAATTGTTGAATTTCTATATGAAACCAAAACATATTCATCTAAAATATCAATTGTAATACCAACATATTAATTACCACGATTAAAAACTAGATTGTTTCAAAGAATCTACAGTGTTTTACTGTGTGACTATGTTTCACATTTTGTTGGCGACTCTTAGAAAAGAGAATAGAGGAAATAATAATAGAGAACATATGTATGAGACTTTGCCCAAAGAGCCGCATACACATTCAAATTTAAATGCTGTTCCATAAGCGAACGGAAATTTTGTTTCAGTGGAAATTTCCCAAAAGCAAAAGTTCTCCTTATATGTATTTCTGTACAAAGAGATTTACTTGGCACACACGTAAATTTCATATAAAATATATGTCAAGATATATGTAACGCCTTAACGAAAAGTATAACATTTTACTTTTTGATTACATGTGCTTAATGCTTTTCAGTAAAATATTGATTTATTGATTAATGGTCGTACAATACAAGTGGTGGCAGCAGTCCGACTTTAATTGCGAATAAAAGGGTATTCGCTCATATAGATAACCACTGGCAAACAAGTGTGCAAACAGGCATACGGCTGAACGATGCACTTCACCTTGAGCTGACGACATTTGTGACACTTGCATCGGCGTTTTATGCGTTAGCACTCACTATTGCTGTTGTTTTTGTGGTTGTTATTGCTTTTGCTGTGGTTGCATTATTCCACAAATGGGTTGGCCTGCCGTTCTCAAAGCTTTACTGCACAAATATTTATACACATGTTGTTTGTGATTGGACAGTTCTACTATACTCTGAATCCATTTAAAAAACAAGAATTCAGGGTATAATGCTTTTACCACTACAAATGCAGCAGGCATCAGAGAAGCAGGTCGATCTGGTTTTAAATATGTTACACAAAAAACTTAAGTTTCAATATTAAAACATACCAAATTCATCAATATGTATTTTCCAGAATACAAATTATTTGCCAATATAGCTACAATATTTGAAGTAGGATTAGGGTATATCCTGGTCGGTCATTCCTGCCAACTAAAGGGCTATTTGTTTTTTATAGCAAACTTGCCTTTATATAAGTATATGTATTATATAGGCAGCGATCTGTGAGCTTGTGTTAGTGGAATGGGGTCACTAGCCAGCAGCCGATAAAGTAATTTATTATTGTAATAAAGGAATGCCCGAGCGATAATATTGCTATACGGAAATTGAGCTGTACTGATTTATGATTGAGTTGTTACTGCTTCATTGTTCTTGTTATATTTCTACAAAATAGGTATATGTATATATTATTATTATTACTATTTTATTTCCGAAACTTATTACTTGCTTAGCAGTGCATTTGTGGTATATGAAATAATTACGTTAGGCAACAAAAACCTGTCGGACTTAAAAAGTCCATAAACAACCGTTTGTCAATTCCTAATTATGAACGCAATTCGTTTGAGTTCCGCACCGATTGCTATTTAAATGAATGAAGTGTATTTTTATACTGAAAACTAGTTTCAGCATATGTATACATGTTTGTTGACATCTTACAATGCAGGTCTTTCGAGATTTGAACTGATCTGAAGCTGGTCCCATTAAGTTTTCTCTAGAAGATTTGCATACAAATCAAGCAAGTTAAAGTTATGTATGCTCACAACTAATACAATCCACAGCCTATACAATTCAGCTCATACTGCAACGTGTCCCATCGATTTTAACTGATAGCAAAAACAAATAACTTAATATAAAAGTCTTGTCTGTATTTAGTAAAGGCGTTCGATTGAAATATCAACAAAACAGAAACAAATAAAAGGAATTAATTGATCAGTAAGTCAAGTTTATACGATTTCCATTGGTCAGCTAGCAACAGCGCTATAAATTCCATTAAACTCTCGCTTATTTTGATAGTATAAATTTTATTGATTGATTAAGAGATTTAAAAATGAATAAAACAGCTTTGCTGTCGGCAGTATGGCTTCTCTCTAACTTCAACAACGTCAATTCCTCTACGACACAATTCTTAGACAGTGTGCGAATAAAGTGCGAAGCTGATTGATATGCCAAATCAAATCGAACGATTTGTTCTGTGTGGATAGCGTGATCTATAGAAACGTTTGGCTAAGCTTTGGTCAATAGATAACGGACGTTATCAGGTCGCCATAAATCATTTTATAATTTCGTGTGCCATTTGAAAAAACGAATACATTTCTTACATTTTTTATCTAGTCCACAAAGAAAATGAAATAAAATTAAATTATATATATTTATATACATATACTCTATACATATATGCACTTGTGTTACGACATGGCGCACGGCCAGACTGCGTGATAGATATGATACGTATTTGTGCTTGACCAAATGGAAATCGGATAATATGAGTCACAATTGAAAAGAAAAGCTCTTCTAGCTTTCTACGTGTTCCCACAAAGCGTTATCATAATTCACTTATTAGACGAATGGTATTCAAGAGTGTGAAATTAAAATGTTATAGACGAGTTGGAAGCCAAGGCTACTCATGTTTATGTTGTTCTCTTTGCGGGTGGCTCATTTTTTATTGTGTCAATTAGTTTTATCGCCAGTCAAATCAGCTGATAATTACGACTGCTGCTCTATACCAAAAATATGATTATTAGTAGTTGTTCACTGTCAAGTAGCACTCCAAATATAATCTAAAACGAAGCGAGATATTGAAATATAAATTTTACAGCTGTATTGTAAATCTATATCATGTTATATGTTAAACGAGTATACTAACTGAGCTAAGAACTGATCTCATTAGGAAATACCCTAGACAAAGCTGTCAAGCTATATATTTTTAATCTTTATTTCTGCTGTTAAATTTACTAAAAAAATGGTTTAAAAATAATTATATATACTCGCACAAATGTGGGCAATATAATATTAACGTCAATTTCGACTAAGAAATACCCCGTGTCGTTTTAAATTAATAAGAAATAAATTAAACAGGAATATTAAATGTAAATTAAAAATATTTAAATATACTAGAAATAATTATTTTCAGTTTGTGTCTAAATTTGCTGTATTTTTAAATATAGGGTGTCTTAATTGAAATGCAATGGTCCTTATCGAATGCATGTGTCAATCTTAAGTCACACGAAAGGCAATAAACAATACATTTTCTGAATATGTTTCAAGTAAACAAAAGTAAAATTCATAACAATATTAATACTAATAATAATAAGGAATAACAAAATAATTACAAAAGGCAAAATTGCACTCAAAACATTTTTGCAGCCTTTTAAGCTTTTAATAAAATAATGTGTGACGGCAATATGTTCCCATTATACTTATAAAATAGTGTAGTAGCTTTTTATTTAGAATCGTGGTAGGCAAATGAAATTATTTCCTTCGGAATTATTGAAGAAAGTGCAATGCCGTCTCGTATCTGTATCAGCATCACAGAGTATGCTGCCCTCTTCATTGAATGCTGGCGTTGACGTTGGCGTATTCCGTAGTCCAAAACCGTACACGCGAGCCCGATTCTTTACGTCATATTCGCACGCGTCTCCCAAGTGATCTTTTTGTTCTTTGGCTGATTAGCACATTGAACCAAAACTCATAAAATACTAAAATCCAAAAAAAAAAGCTTCGAGCTTGTCGCAGTTCAGTATCTACTCAACTTTTAATTGTCAATTTAAGTGGACTAATTATTTGTATTATGTTTAATTATAAGTATTCATTATTGAATATATAAGTGGAGCATAATTAGTATAGTTCTATATAAACAAAGCATAGTACATGCATACATATATGTAGTATATATATATACATTATGCTCAACAAGATCCTCAATTGTTGACCTCTCTTCTAGCAGATTAAATGGCAGTTTTGTTTTTCTTTTGCACTTATAAACTGATTATGAGTCCCTGATAAGCAATTTGTTGGGTTACGAAGTTAAAAAACGGTGATAATATACCCTTTGTTATATGCATGGTATATACTAAATGCATGAATACATACATGGTATATCTTTGCTTCTTAAAGATGACTCAGCTTGCAGACTTTTCCGTCTTTATATTTTCGAAAATATATAAGATTAACCGAATATCTACGTACATGGTTAAGTACAACATTCGAAATGTTCTTTTGTGCTGATAATATATATACGTATGAAAATATATATGAATATCCAACTTCAATTAAGGAAAGTTCATTCACTTTAATCAATCATTTTAAGTGCTGTGTCTCATGGTGAGAAAGTTGTGATTGGACATTGACACTGTGAATTGCGATCTATCGATTTCTATATCGTGTATATATATTTACATATTATTCCCATTTAGCTATGTGCGTGTGTATCTCATTATACAGCCAAAATAGGAAATTAGGAAGACTTAGAAGTACGGCCGCAGCTGTGCAACCCATATAGACAAAAGTTCAAATTTACTGATAATGATATTTATTCCCCTGCTAAATTTTGTACCCTTCCATACAATACAAGAGTAAATTAGTTTTATACAATGTCTACCCAAAAGTTACCTTGGTATAAACCTTTTCAATTTGAAATTTTAAGTTTTATAGGGGTTTACTCATGTATTTATGGATTATTAAAATTAATAAGGCTTCAAGAAATAAAAATGTTTTTTCCTTAAGATTTATAATTATATAAACATATTTTTCTTTTTGCTTACTAATTTTTATGTCAATTTTATTTTAAGCTACAGCCGTCAAGTATGCTACATATTTTGTCCGCTTATGTAGGTGAGTTGCAGTGACAGGGTATATTTGTTTGAGCACTAAATGCAAACTTAGATAAAAATATATCTTCGTTTCAATTAATTACATACATATTAAATACAAATATCAAAACATGAGTTTATTTCACCATTGCTTTGTTTTATTCTCTCCATGCCAAAGATATAAATAAAAATGTTTTAAGAAATTGGTAGTGTTTTTTTCATATGTTTACTCAAGTCGACCACAAGACTTTTTTAAGATTTTTCCTTCAATGTTGTACGTGGACAATGGATGCATTTGAGTATTGGGCAATTCCTCAAGCAAAGCACCCATAACCGTGAATGTGCCTTTGGCCTGGTATAGCACGCTGAGAAGAGGGTTTTTCGGATTGATGCGCATGTTGTTCATTACATAGACTCCTTTTTTCAGAGGACAGCTGAATGTATAGTTGCTCTGCTTCAGCATGTTATCCTTTACAGGCTTGAAGAGTGGAACAGCATCAATGATACCCTTTATGGCGCATAATTTGGTCGTCATGTTGTAAACAATGCGCTTACTTTCGTTGGGACTTTGTTGTACTATTAATAGTCTCGCGACAGGGGATGCAATAGGATCATTAATGGTAGTTATAGAACCGATGCCATTTTGGCTGGAAAACGTCATATTAACAACAAATCGTGGTCGGTCATCTGTCCAGTTTGAGGAAAGCAAATTGATGTAGTAACATTTCTGAGGTGCGGAAGTCATAATAAATATCAATTAAATGTGGAACTGGATGTATGTATATATACCTCTTTGCAATAGACTTCCGAATGCAATGCTATTACTACCCACGCTGTTGCAAAGATCAAAAAGTCGAATATCACATTCATAGCCTTCTCGTCTGCTTACAGAAAACTCAATGAGTAAGGTCTGCATTTATTTAGCCATAAATTCAATAAGTTCATTACAATTGTCAATCATAATTAGCACTAATCAGTGACTAATATTGTTTCCATTGTAAACAAAATAATTATTCTAAAATTATTTGGAATTTCTGTGCTAGTCGCAAAATTTCAATTAACTTGCTGTGCACTCGATTTGAACTTGTACCCTTAAGCACCTCAGACAGTTCGAGATCAATCGCAGTGGAATTGATCTGATCCGCCAAAATAAATCGTGTCATGAATATAGCATGAGGCACTTGAATGAATGCGATACGTTTTAACTCAGCAGCAAACCTAGAAAAATAAAAAATTAATATTTAATAATCTTTTTATTCACTATATTCTATATTCTATATTGCGAATTTGTCTTACGTCTCGTAGCTATATGCATTGGTATTTACGCCAACTTTAGTCAGAGTATAAATGAATGCATTGAAGTAAAATTTCAGTAAATTATAGTAATTATCCTCTAGAATACGCGTTGATACGCTTGTAAACAGAAATGCTATTAAGTCATGCACAACAGAATCGTACTGTGCTGTTTGAAAGTCGATTATCTTCAATTGCGTGGGCTGTCCGGAATGGTCTGTAGAATTGCCACAAAAGATTATCTTTCATATAGGCTCAGATATATTTGAATAGTCACATACCATACTTGAACATTAAGTTCATTGTCCATAGATCTGAGTGAATGACAGTGTTAAATGGGTTATTTTCGATTGGCGGCGTTGCAAGAAATGCAAAAAATTCAGTCGACAATTTCTTTATCGAGTTTATCGTGGTCTCATCATTGTTTGTGGCTTCTTTGATATCTGCTAAAGTTTCCGCTATCATTGTGGCCTTCGCCTCGGGCGCTGCTGCATGCCAGTCGAACTTGTCAAAGAATGGACGCACTTTTGTTTCAAAGACCTTCGGTTTCTTCAATCGTAGTGCAATTGTTAGCGCATGGAACTGCGCCATGTAATTTAAGGCAATTTGGGTGTGGAGCAAGTCGAAAGGTCGCAGCCTCTGACCCGGCACATAGTTATCGTCCCGCAGATCTTCCAAAACTAAAATTGCGTCTCTGTCAACAGTTTTGGCATTTTGGCTTAGGGATATGCGTGAGCCAAAATACTTGGCGAAGCCATCGAATTGCATTTCCTTGTGAATGCCCGCTTCCTCCTGCAAAGCGATCAATGCCGGGGCCAATATCTCGTAAATTGCATTCTCAGCTAGACAGGTGCGCTCTGGTTGTATAAACTTCCAATATTTTAGGTCTGTTGGCGGCACTTTAGCCACCAGCCGCTTATCAAACAATGTTCCATTAGCGCTCCGTACTAGAGCACGGATAGATATTAAAACACTGCCATAATTCTCGCCCGGTCGAGTTAGACTATCCACTTCATAGGAATGGAGGTAGGCACCATTAAGTGCAGGCTCGATGACCTGACCTAACTGTTTAATTATTGGCAACTGGCTCATATTGGGAAGCAACCGTGCTGCAGTGCTGCGTATTGCTTAGTGAACAATTTAAATCGACAAACGCTTCTGTATACAGAAAAATTATTGTTGATTTCCTGCTTATCACTGCGATAACGCTTGGATGTGGCTAAGTGCTGATAACTTTTAGTTTCAGCTCTCTTTTGCTATTTTTGCACTCCCAAATTATAAAGTAAAAGCCGGAAAACTAAGGCAGTTAATTTTTAATAAATTTATGTTTACAATAGAAGTTTATAACTTATTCAAATATGTTAAACTTTCTTGCCAATCGTATGATGTCTCTGAGTTTATTCATAACTTTCTCACTTCCTTTTTTAGTTATCATCGTCAAATCAACGTCTTTGTAGTCGCTTGGTAGTATATTGTTGTCGGCCAAGATTACTTTTGTCATAAACAGAGCATGTGGAACCTGTAGAGGTGCCACACGTTGCACTTCCTGAAGGTAACTGTAAAGACCAGTTTTATTTTACATATCCGTTAGAATCCATCTAAAAATCTTTATTTGTTAGTTGCTGTTATTTGTGTGCTCCTACATTTTAATAAATTATTATTCTCATATTATATTTCTTTGACATTCATAATTTTATTTTTGACATTAATAAAGCTAGGGGTTTGTTTATGACAACGCCACATGTTAGCATTATAAAGCTTTGCACATAGAGTTTAGCTCTGTCACGTAAATTTTGTTTTGAACAGGTTAGTTTGACCATAGAGGCGTGGCTAATGATAAAGCAAAAACGCGTATTACGTAATTGCTTCTGTTTGGGCGAAACGTTCTTATCGGACTGATTGATATGCCCCTTAAAATTTTAGATGATTCGCAATTTTTCGCTGTTCAAACAAATATTAACCGAACTATATACAAAAATGAATACGTTTTAATCTGCTTTTGGCTTGGGAAGCTGTTGAAAACTAAATATTGTTCTATTTGCTAGATTAACTTATATAAAACTTATATTTTTATGATATTTAATATACTCACGCCTCATAGTTGTATTCCCTTGTATTCACATTTGCCTTTTGCAATGCTTGGATGAACGCTTCATAATATATGCGTAGAAAATTATAATAGTTTTCCTCTAATACGTGTGTATCTATGATAAAGAATAGTTTCATTATTTTATAAATTATTATTGCACATTATTGGTATTTTCAAAACTCACCCACACTTGAGAGAAGTAAGAAGATCAAGTCGTGAATCACTGACTCATATTGAGCGATCTGAAAGTCCACAATTTTTAGCTTAACGGGAAGTCCAGTCTCATCTAAGTAATAGTTAAATACAAAATATCTGCTAATCAATAATCATTATTCATACTTACCATATTTGACCATCAAGTTATTTATCCATAAGTCCATATGAACTAACAAAATAAATTTGTATGAAATGCACAAATATATACCTTCAAAGATTCGAAGTACAAATGTTTACCTATAGAAGTCCAAGGACCATCATTCACATCGTCCCCTGTTTCAAATTCATTAAATAAATCCTGCAATTTCCTTACACCGTTAATGATGGTCATGTCTCCGTCGGCAATATCCTCAATATCCCTTAAGGATTCGTCTTTTAACATATCCTTAGTATCAGCTTCCATATTTTTATTCATATCGAATTTCTTGAAATAGGGTCGTATTTTAGATTCAAAAACTGTGGGTTTCTTAAGACGCAGGGCAATGGGCAAAGCATGAAACTGGGCTATGTAATGAAGAATAAGCACAGTATGCTGCAAATCGTACGGTTTATGTCTATTCCCAGGCTGAAAGCCTCGAATGGTTAGGTTTTCCTGAACTAGAACCGCGTCTCGATCAACTTTAGTGGCTTCCGGGCAAAGTGAAATGCGCGAGCCGAAGTAACGAGGAAAGCCATCGAACAGATTGACAGGCAGAACACCAGATTCAAGTTGAAGTTTCTCTATTTCGGGTGCTAAATACTTATAGACAGCATTTTCCGTGATGCAGGTCCGTTCCGGTTGAAATATTTGCCAATATAAATCGTTGGTGAGTGGCGGTAATTTTGCTATTAAATGCACATCTTTGAGCACATCATTCGATTGCCTAAGTTTTGCACTTATAGCTAACATAAGGCTTCCATAATTGTCTCCGGGCTTGGTTAGATATCGGCTCTCATAGGATTCCAGTTTGTCGCCTTGCAAAAAGACTTCAATCACTTTCTGCAAATCTTTTATTTGTGGCACTTCTCCCATTCTAAATTGGCGCTGTATCTGTGTATGGCTATGCCGACTTGCACTGACTGAATGAAATCGCAAAGCAACAACGTCCCGCTTTTCATAGCACAGCTAGTAATGAAGGAAACGTAGATAATAAAAAAATTTAAAAAAAGATTCGTTCTAGTGATAAAGATAAAAATTAATTGTAAACGAATAGTTGCTATTGTAAATATGCCATTTTATACCCTGTAACTCGAAATAATAGCAAGTATAATTCTTTTGTTAAAACTTATATAAACCGATGTTTACTATCATCAGCTACCGAATCTATCTATCTTCGCTAGCCTATTTGCTAGCTAATAAATTCAAACATTGATCGAGAGAAAGTCTCTCTCAATATCAATTGAACTACATCATGAGAATTCCATAAAACGCAGTGCAAATTTAGATATGTAAACAAGAGTTATATTATGAGGCGACATAATATATACATATATAAGAAATATTTTACCGTGGCTTATAGGGTAACATCCAGTCAGGTACTGCCGCGTCGTGCGCTCTTCTATGTTTGCTACTACATGCGATTGTTGATTAAGCACTACTTTTGATTCAAGTCGTATAATGGTGATATGACATATCAGTTGAATAACCCAATCAGCTACGACACTTACGGCAACGACAACAATTAGTACAATCAACAAGCGAATGTTAAGAGACTCCTTCCGTGCTATTCTAAGCATGACAGACATGTAGGCACATCATATAACAGCAAATCACGGTATGACAACTTTTTCTTCATAATTGGCTACACACTTGGGAGAATATCAATTTGATTATCAACTGTATTTGTGGCTTTTACCGGCCATTCAATTTTCTAAAAGTACGGCAGCCTTTGTACCAGCTGAATACGGTCACACTTGCTATGTACACAGTTCTGCTGCCATTGTTATCGGTATATCGAGGGCAATCGAAAAACTAAGGCTTCATTTTTTTGTAACAAATATAAGCAAATTGTATTTTTTTTAAAATATACTTTCAATGGATCACCAACTTGTGGCTGCCATTCAACAGGCAGCTCTGCAGCAACAAATTTGCAATGCAATGGGTATGCAGCTCCCATTCCCTCAAGGTGTACCAATGAATTTCGTAGGCGGTGGCTACGGTTATGGGTGCCCAGAAGGAATGCCTTCCTATCCGCTGTTTGACACAGAGGAGGTCGACGAAGAGGATGAGGATGATGAGGAGCAGGTTCGCACTCTGTTTTGCAGCAACCTAGACGAGCGCGTCACGGAGGAAATATTGTATGAAGTGTTTCTGCAAGCGGGGCCCATAGAAAGCGCGCGAATACCACTGGACAATACAGGGCGGCAACGAAATTTCGGGTTTGTTACTTACCAGCACAAAATCGCGGTGCCTTATGCAGTAGAGCTATATCAGGGCTTGGAACTATTTCAAAAAAAGTTGATTATTCGTCAGCAGTGCCCAGAGAAACCGAAGCTATCAGCGATGGGGCTAGGTAGAACTCGCAACCCATTTTCTCAAGATTTCTCATCGCCTGCCCCGCCCGTGAATGAGCAATCAGGAGGACAACGGCATGTCCGACATAGTATCCAGGATGGAATGCAGTACGCTGGCCCCCAAAAGAAATATAATAGTGATGCCCGACGCCGCAGCGACAGTGCTGTCATTGACCGTAACAGACCCAGACATCAGCACCAGCAGCATCAGCAGCACAACAATAGTGGGGGTAACCGCAGATCTGATCAGAGATATAATCATGGTAGAAGGTTGCTGTAAGCTCCTTAGGTTAAGTTCATTGTAACATTTATTTGTATAAGTCTTTAATAAGCGTAGATATATACACTGTACAAAAACAATTTTACCATAGAATAAAGTGACTTGATTCTCAAGGGATCATATCACTTGAAACTACGCTTCCACGAAAGGAATATTTAGTCGAACAGTGGTTTAACGGCAATTCAAAGCAATGACCATGTACGTCAATGAATTAAGAGTATTAACATCGAAAAAAGTTCAAAATAAGATGATTGCTATTTACATAAAAAACTTTCTAAATTAAGTGACTAGCGTGTAATGCTTCTTAAAGTCTTCTCCACGTTTCGATATATTCGCGGTGGTATGACCTCCAATAGCAAGCGCTGATAGCTGGCGTGCTCTGACAGAGCTCGGAACAGCGACTTCGCATAGCTACGGGTTTCGAGACTGCCCTCAAGTAGAAGGTTCGCACCGACAGTGAAGAACTTATCACGATTTTCACGGCCCATTGAGTAGATGCGATCGCAGCCCAAACGTTCGACCAGTCTAAACATCAGCTTCGCCGTCGTAGTGCGGACTACGGCATTCTGATGCTGAGCTCCTTTGGTTGCCAGTATGTTGAGAACTTTCGCAGGCTGGACGTGATCCACCATCGACTCTAGGGCGCGGGTGGCATCTGCACGCAGGAATCGGTTTGTGTCCGCCGTGCGGTGCAACAGGGCGCAGACTAGATCATCACATTCTAACTCCAATGATTTGAATTTCAATGTATATAGTTCCGTGGCCACCTGACAAGCTGCTCGAGCCACTTGTGAGCGCAGATTACGAACGGAACGAGTGAGTTGAATGCATGTCATATGCATATGACTATCCAGAAAATCCGCATGGTAGCGGATCAGGCGCACCATACTTTTTAGGCCTGTTATATTTACCTCCCAGTTATTCGAGTCCAGTTGATCAAATGTCTTGAGTAAAGCGTCCCGTGGTTTCTCAAAGCTTGACATAGTGGGCGGAAACAGCTCCGTCTGCGACATCTTAATGGCCTGTTTAACGGGGGAGACGCGTCGCTGGCCACGCAATAGATATGATGTTTTCGACTTTTGTTTCAGCGGTGTGTGTTGTGTCTTCGCAGGCAACCGATTGGTCTGATCAAAGTGAGAGCCGATTTGAGAGCTATTATCAGTTGTGCTGGTACTAGTGTCCAGAGAATCTTGCTTTGAGTTGGGCCGCCGCCCATAGAGCGAGTCGAGTGAGATACTGCGTGAGTGTATGGCCCTATCGTCTTCTACGATTTCAGACTTTTTGCTAGATGAGATTCGAGAGGCCGATGGGAGCTGTGCTTCATTGCTCGGTGGTAGCTCTGGTAATTTGTGAAGGGCCACCGCCTCTACTTCTGTTGATTCAAGCTCATTCTGCATATCCTCAACAACGACAAAGCTATTGGCGCTCTCAATCTCCTCTTCAATAGCCAGCGATTTCGTGGATTGAGCACGCGACATTTGTGGCGTTGCATCCTCGAGTTGAGTCTTAATGCTTTCCGTTTTGCTTTGCAGGCTGCTAACGCTTTCATTCCGTTTCAAAGCGGGCTCCTGGCAGGGTGACTCTGTTTCTTCCTCAATGTCGTCGACTACTAGCTCGCCGAATGGTGTTTCTAAATTTGTTGCGTCCATTTCAACAGAGAGAGACGTGGTCTGCTTGCCCACATCGTATGATTTAGCCGAGGCGGTTGACTTTTGAGAATAGCTTGTTGATTTGATCGATAGGGGAGAGCCTTCTCCGTTATGATTGCTTGCCTGTGGCCCGATGGCTGTTGTAACTTGACTAGGTATTTCGGCCTTTACTCTAAAGATAAAAAACAAAATTAGTTTAATCAAAGCATTTTTAGTTCACATTCACACTCAAAGAAAAAACTCACAGCTCTACTTGGGGGAAACCCTCATTCACGAAACTTTTGTCAACTACTTGAGGTGGGTCGAGCACTTGCCACGTCACTTTATCAGCCACATTTGTAGCCGTTTTATCAATTTGCATCGATTTTCTTCGTTTGGTGTGACAAAGACAACACTGACAGAGACACCGATCATAAGATATCATTGCCTTTTCCAATACATATTCCCTAACTGTATGAAACGCGTTGCGAAGCACGACCAAAAGATTTGTGGGTTGACCGCCACAGTTAAAGGAATTTGGCATTTTGCTAGCTATGCTAAATTCTTGTAGTTAGTCTTGAATAAACAACCTAGTTATAGAAGTACATTCCGACGAGGAGCCTGATTAAAATGTATTAATTGTAGCACTAGCGTCTGGCCTGCACTACTTGACCACTTTAAGCAACAACGCCACTTTACAAACTGTTTGCAATGGTTCGTAGGACGTCGGGCTGACCACCTCTTCAATTCTCCCACCAAAAGGGCAGAAACGCCCAATCCACAGCGCTTTTTATTTCCATTTCAGGGAAATACAACTAAACACAACTAAAGTTGCAAATGTAAAACAGGACATTGCGTTTTCCACAGTAGCCAAAGCCCACACACACTCACAGAAAGTCAGACCCTTCCAATACAGCGGGCACCCCTGAATATAGCTAACTATACATATTCCTATGTATGTTATATATGTATATGTATATGTATATGTATATAACTTGACGACGACTACGACAAGCTAGCCATTGGCCTGCCACGGTGCCTTCACTGTTGGTATTTACAGTTGGACTTTCTGTTTTCAATCGAGCGCTTTCTTAGTCATGTTCGGGTTTCTTCGTGCGTCTGTCACGAAGACCGTAAATAGAAAACAGTTTAGCTTCAGACTGTTCGACACTTGGTACCCTACATGCAACTATAGTGTAAATAAGTAAAGCTCTATTCTTGGATTGACATATCTTAATAAATTGAAAATAGGACGAAAGTAAATAAAATTGTTAACTGAATCAAATAATAGGGGGAAACTGTATTCAATGGGTATATACGGTTAAATAAATAAAATAAATGGGGGTTACATTTTTGTTATCAATATATCATATACTTGGTTAATAAACTATTTAATATTTCGCCCGTTGCATAAAATAAAATAATTTGCGTTGCAAGCGCAGATATAATATTGATTAATTTTGCAAAGGATGGTTCAAAAGCACTTAGAAACGATGACCAAATAAAATAACACGCGTTACACAATCAGGCTGTATGTAACAGGTATTTGTAGTGGTCATTTGAAGGTTCGTTAGGGCTTATATTGGACATCCTGTCCCTGATGAATGTTTCAGCGCGCATTTAAATATTTAGGTTAAATAAGGAATTTGTTTGCGCTTTGATATGGCACCTTTAAGGTGGCGATGTTGTATGACGTGCCCAATTTTTGGGGTCAACAACTACATTATTTTTGCTGTGATTTTCGATAAACGAATGACGAAACTGCTCCAATATTAACATACAATCTATATACGAATTATACCAAGCACTTGATAATGTTAAATCAATTTAACTTGGATTAATAAACCGGATTAAGGGCTTGTTTTGAATTAGAATAATTTGCGAGTTGATAAACTTACTTGAATTTAGAACCATTTGGAACATCTCTGTTCACCGCTGTTTCCAGTTGCTGATCCTTTAATTTTGCTATTGCTTTTGCTTAGAAAAAAAAAATTATTATAGCTTGGGCAGAAGCTTGAATTATTTATATTAACCTTGAGATTGACTGCTTCTCTCTAGCCAATTCTGTTCCACGTATATTTTTTGTCCGGCTGGCTCCTTTTGGACTTGCTGCTTCAGACTTTTTTGCACACCATGATTCACAATCGGATGATCTTTTGTATCTTCAAAACTGTATGTACATGGCTTTCGTTCTATATTGTGCATAAAATTGGTAATAAAATTCGTTTGTCGCTTCATAATTGGAAATCTATACAAAGATAAGTGTGGATGAGTTAGCATGACAATTGGAAATACTTTGCTCCATTACCTTGAATTTTGCCGAACCAAACGCCTATTAATGGCCAAATTACAAGGAGTCAACTGTATGAAACTTCCACTGCCACTGCCACTACTGCAGGACGTTGTCGTACTGTCAGTGCTCCTGCCATCCATTGATGATTCAGAGTATGCCTTGGCTCCTAGGCGACGCTCCATATAGTTAGCTGAAATGCCAAACAATTTATTAGGCATATATATTGTCTTAAAGACCCAAACATACTTACAATTAGTATAATACATTTTTTTTTTGAAAAAGTCCTGGAAGAAAAAATTGAAATTGAAAGTACAAACACTTCTGGTACATGGTCTGGGCTATTTGTTTATACGAATTGAACTCACATTAGAGGCTCGAGACATGTCTAGCGCTTCGGGCGGGGAGTGGAATGAATGTCGGTGCAAGTTCTCGTCTATTGGAGAGCTATAAAATTCAAAATAGATTTGAATAATTCACGTTGAACTCAAATAATATGTATAAACCTTTGATTCGTCATGTCCTCTGCATCTTTGCTTTCCTGCAAACGCTTTTTATTGGCCAATTGCTGGCGACGTCTCTTAACGGCATTTGGTGACGCAGAGCCTTCGCCTTGCGTGATCCAGTCCACATCTGCACCAAAGCGCATTCGCCCAGCTTGATCTGCCTTATGGAATGTGTATAGGACAGATCCATCAGTTGTAATTATGGGCAGCTGGAGGCGGGACAAACGCGTTTTCACAGCTGCCAGCAGCGCAGGTCCTGACTCTATGCTATCCACTGTATCGGCAACAATTTGCATCACCTCATCCACCGAAGATATATCAGCAAGTACAGCAAATACCTCCAAGGCGGCTTGCCGTACGCGACGCTTGCGATTAAGTGCAGCATAGGTCACTTGAGCTGCGAGGATGTTTATGTCGAAACATGTGCCGGGAAAGGACATCAGCGAGTAGATGGACATTTGCAGCGCGTGATCCCGAAACTGATGATCGATTAAGTTAAGAAAATATAGTTCTTAGTTAAATATTGCAAAAAAGGCTGCTAAGTTTGTGCAAAGCTCTATTATAATCCATGTTAATTGACAAACAATGAAAACTAACCTTTGAACTCTTAGCATGAAGATACTCGGGCGCAGTCAATTTAGCAACTATAGTGCCTGCTGGCAGGCGCTGCATGAGGGCTTTGCACACACGATTTGCTCCAGCGTTGCCTTGGCGACAGAGACCGGACAATATTTGTGGCGTCCGCTCCTCCAAGTTGTCCAGTGGTAGGCGTGAAATGAGATTAACTAGAACCTCGCGCTTCAGCGCAGCTACCTCAAAGTGGCGCTCCGAGGACAGTAAGGTGCGCAGCAGGCTATCTAGATGGGGCTGCACTTTTACTAAGTTGCTGGATGTGCTGAGAGCTATTTCAAGCTGGGCTACACCCTGTAAACGGTTGCGCCAATCCTGCTTGGCAAAAGGAGATTAAAGAAATGGTTTAATGTAGCCGCAAATATATTTTATGGTCAAGTGAGCTACTGGGCTCGAATTTCTGAGTCATTTCAATAATTGCAGCAAAGGAGGGACTATTGTTTCTACTAAATACAATTGGAGCAAGCTGTGTTGGCAACGATAACGTCGCTTTAAATAATTTCCTGACTGCCCCATGCTCCGTAGCTGTTTTTTATTCGCGCCCTTTTTGTATTCTGTACGCGCTATAATTTTTGTTAATGTTTTATTATTTTTGTGCCAGTGTTGACCCAGTTTTCGGCACGCTCCATCGGTCCCCACTCAGTCCCATTTCAGCATGGACTGCGTCTCCATCAGCAGTGCTTCTTGCCATTTTATCGTCCTCTATGCATGCTGCTACTGAGTTATTGTTGCTGTTTTTCTCACTACTAAAATATCGCGTGCATTTAAATGATTGGCCGGCAGGACTCCGTAGTACTCTGCAGCAGCTACCAATACTGCAAAAACATAGTATGCACCATGACTAAGACGTCGTAAGTTCATGCACCACGTCCTCAAGTTATGACTTATATATATATGAGGGGGTGAGTGACTAGAAGACATTCTGAAATCTGTTTCGAGAATATATGTCCCCTTCAGCATAATTTGTTAATCTCAACTCTAACAATATACTTAAAATAGAGTATAAATCGACTTGATGCGAGTAGAAAAAGTTTTATTACATATGAAAAATGCTTGATATAAATGGGCGTTCAGGTCTAGATAAGCACAGCTACAGATTATGATCTGGAATATTTGTACTTTATTGGGTCGCTGTAGCCTTTTGTGCTTCCCATTAATCTTACCAAAATCAACGGACATAGGGTATAGAAACGGCTGTCGGATTCAAATTACCAAAAGTCACTTAAAAAAGTTTGACGGGAAACGCACTCATAAATTCGACGTAAAAATGTAGGGCCTTTTGAATTGTTCACGTCAAAAAATTAATAGGTCATTGGTACATGGGGTGCACACCCTCGTCTATCGATAAACAGAATTGTTCTGCCATTAATATGTGTGTGTGGCCATTGAGTTTTGGTACCGGCTCGACGGTATTTTAATAGCAATATAGATGTTGTAGTTGAGGTAATGCGTGTCGTGTGTGTACAAATTTTGGTGGCTGCCATTATGAAGGCGCAAATTGCGAGCGCATATGAAACTGTATATGTATATCCTAGTAACCCAGTTAGCGTACGAAACGACCGCCGGCCATAAGAATAGCGTGCGTTTAATATAATTATTTTTTTAATTTTTATAGGCCAACACAAATATGACTGCAGTAGATTTACCAGAATATATAGTGAAATATTCATACAGAACACTCAAGTTGGACGTAGTTACTTACTCCTGAACGCAAGTCCATGATAGTTTTATAGTTGACAATGTCCAAATCCTCCCAGCTAGTTGGCGTAGCTGGTGGGTCTGCTTGCACACCGGTCGTGATTCCAGGTGGAGTAATTAATTCGGTGGTGACGCTTTCGCTTCGTCTCATGGATCGAGGCGAGGGATCAGTATCCCGCTGAAGATTGTGTAGTACCTCGATCTCTTTGTGTGGTACTTTGGGACTGGTTGTTATGCTACCGGCCGGACTGATGCTACGACTACGATAAGCAGGAGAGACGTCTCGATTAGGGGAGGCATGTGTCGTAGTTGCATTTGTTTTTTGTGTGGCCTGTTCTTGGTCCTTTAGAAAAGTGTTGTTTCGCTGTGGCGATTGTGCACTTCTGGGTCGGGGCAGGGGCTTGGTATTATCGCTGGGAATCTCCAATGTCAAAGCTGTCATTTTGAAAGCTTCATTCTTGTCTTTGTCTGGTTGCTGTTGTTCCTCTAACACAGAAGAAGTCTGTGGCGTATTGGTCTGGGGTCCGTCCATGTCTCGAACAGGGTTCTCGATATTGTGCGTAGAGGAAGCTGCATCACTATCGGGTGTGCGCATTTTAACAACCTCTCCACCAAATGTTACACGTTTCAAGCCACGAAAGGGAGTACCAATATTAGCTTCGTTCACTTCCTCCAGTTCTGAGTCGCTAATTATCTGTAGTATCCCTGCATCCATTTCTCGTGGCGGCTGTGCGGGGAGTGGACGGCACACAAGTTCCGCTGATTCTAAAATGGGGCTATCTATCTCTTCGGTCTCAGTTTCTGCCTCTAGAATTCGCATGGTAAGTGTGTCATCGTTGATTTTAATTTCCGTTTCCATAATCACTTTTCCTTTCTCTGGATGTGGTACCTCTTGCTGTTCCTGCGAAGTACTCGGCGCTCGCCATGTGTGCTCCCGAGGTAGAGCTCTCCAAGCGCCTGCATTTGCACCTTCAGCTCGATGGGGCTTATTCAATATTCCATACACGTTGCACAGTTGATTAAAGAGGGACAGACCATCTACACTTTGCACTTCGTCTAAGTAATGTTCAAACTCTTGCACACCCAATAGCTCCCTTATTTTGGCCAGCACCTTCAAAATAATCTCCTGTTGTGTCTGTTGACGTTGCAAGCGGTCTACCAGGCGCTCCATAACGTGCTTCACTATAAAATGACGTTGTGGCGTGAGCAAAATCGATTGCAATAATGGCGGCAGGGAGAGCAGCACTCCACAGCCGAGCCGTTCGTCGTAGATGGAATGCTGGCTTAACCCAGTGTCCAATATCTGGAGCATGACCATCTCCGGAGCACTAGTCTCTGACAGGTAGACTCGCAGGCAGTCAAGTGCACCCTTTCGCACAGTCGGTGCCTGATGTCCGAGATTTTTGATCAAATCAATTAAAAAATGCATATTATGCTTGTCAGCCTTAGATCGCATCACCATCAACACGTCGACAAGCACGCGTAATGCATGTTGGCGCACCTGCCACTCGGGATCCTGCAACCTTTCATGGAATTCGGTAAACATTGCGGCTGGGCAAATTGTTTCCGGCAATCGACGCGTACGTAAAACATGCTCCCACAACGAGGTTAGCTGCACAGCAGCTCCCGCGGTTTGCTCATAGCGTCGTTGCATTGTGTTTGGATCTGCACTGTTATTTGACTGATTGCTGTTGTTGTCGTTAATGTTAGTGCTGTTGTTGTTATTGTTGTCTTTGTCCTCGCCAATGACATTGTTCGTTTCACTTAAGTGAGAAGTGTCAGTCTCGTTGGCGTCGCTATTCCCATTACCTGGATGAGTTGTATTATACGAAATGTCTTTTCGCTCCAAAATACGCTCAAAAAACATGACGAGCCACGGTTCCTCGTCTATTTTATATATGTTGTCGTCTGCTTCAATTATCTAACAACTTGTTTAAGCTTGCATAGAATACTTTTCTTCACTTAGTTTTTAATTTATAACTGTCACGCACGCTTGCATCCGGTGCAAAGCTTTCTATGACTCGCATTTACATTAAGTCCAATGTCACATTTGCTTTGGAACGTCCACCATTAGATGTCTGGTCCTTTTCAGTTACTAGCAACGACTGCAACTCGAAGCCGATGGATATGCCTTTTTGTAGTAAACTAGCTAACTGCACGAAGTGCCGAAAATTGTGAAATAACCCCAGTATTATTTCGTTAGTCACTGCGCAGGTCACAATCCCTCTCCGAAATGGCGAATGCAACAATTATTTCGGTTGCACTTCACGCTATGAATACTACTTCAATTATTATACCCTGAACCCATTTTCAATGGGAAATCAGGGTATAATGGTTTTGTTGAAATGTATGTAACAGGCAGAAGGAGGCGTGGCAGACCCCACAAAGTATATATATTCTTGATCAGGGCGACGAGCTGAGTTGATTTGGCCCTGTCCGTCTGTCTGTCCGTCTGTCCGTCTGTCCGTCTGTGTGTGTATGTATGCCTGTGTGTGTGTGTGTGTGCGTGTTTCTTGTGTAAGCTGAAAGACGCGAAAAATTATTAAAATATCTATTGCTCCAAGGGTTCAGGGGATCTCGTAGTCGAGCAGTCTCGACTAGAGCTTTCTTACTTGTTTTTTTTTGTTATTTTTACAAATGCAACTTTTTTATGTATTTATTGTAGTATACAAATGTATTAACTATATTTTAGCAAGTATTTTTAGTATATTTTAGTAGTGCGAAACAAGTAAATGTGCTAGCAGCAGCGAAAATAATATTGGTTTATAATGTTCTTAAATGGCAATAAATAGAGTAGCGGGAACTATTTTAATATAGCACACATACATACATTTACACAAGTAATTGGATTATTAAACACTAAAAGTATATCCCAAGAAGTATTGCTTAATTAATAAAACTAAACTGCCCAACAAGATTGAGTTGGACTTGGCTTTACTGTTGGCAAAGGCATATCAGTCAGTACAATTTCGATGAAGACCTATATGAAAATGCACTTAGGATCAATAACCTTGATACAAGGTGTTAAATATTTTCTAAAGTACACTTTTATAAATATGTATCAATGCAGTAGTTATCTGAAACTTTACTATATAACTATAACTGTACAGATTCGTTGTACATTACAGAATGAAATGGCGACGCTTAACTCTAAAAGGCGCATAAACTTTTACACTTAATACAGATACTCCTAAGTGAGTATTTCAGACGTACTCCTCGGGTGCTTTTTGTACATTGGGTATACGTAAAGTTGAGACTTGCTGGGAGGGTTGTTGTTGCTGTGGATTAGTCGTATCAGGAAGCTCGGCGATATCCTTGAACACGCCCATCAGATTTTCATAGCTTGGGCCCCAGTTGAGCAAATATTCCCAGCCTAAGGTGGTTGCCGATGGTGAGGCGGCTCCATTTGCTTTGCGATAGATTCCACTTAAATGATTTGCTAGATCATCGTCGCTGGCTACAAGCGTACTGAGCGAACCTCTGAAGGATGATTCAAATCCATCGTAGGCATGCGGCGGAATAGGCGGAGTCTTTGCCACATTTTGACTCCTGCTGGGCTCTCCACTGATTGCTCGAGCCACAGGACTGCGACTATCGAGTATGCTCTTGCTGGTCGAGTACTTGCCATCGCCGCTTAGGCTATTATTATCGTACTCAATCTCAGAGCAGGTGAAGCTGTCGTTCCCACTCTCGTCGGTAGATGTGGAACTGTGCGCGTCCACTTCACCGCCCAGCGATAGATGGAGTGCACCCCCAGGAACTCGAGGCGTGGGTGCCTCACTGCTCGAGGACAAATCCAAAGTAGAAACTAAGCTGCAAGTACGCGGTCGAGCGTTGAGCCTCTCAATTTCTTCGGCAGTGAGACCCATTGAGTTCTGCGGTGGTGCTTGAGGTGGTGCAACAGACTTCTGGCGGCTAGCACTGGAACTCTGGCCCGACAGTTGGGACATCACTGGGCTGTTTAAGCTGCGCTCGCTGTTGCTGTGCAGCGCATCCTTGCCAACGCCTCCAGAGCTAGAAGTGGTAGCTAGAAGAGCGCTCTGCAACGGTTTGCCCGAAATGTCGTGCAAGGTTAGAATTCGCGGCTGTTGTGAGCTCAACTCAGAGCTGGGCGACAGTCGCGCTAGTGGAGTTGTTTGGTGGGTGCGAGACGTCGATGTGGCTGACGGTGGTTGATTGCTTTGATTGGGCACGCGCGACACGAATGGGGCGTTAACAGCATGTCGTGGCGAATGGCGATGCTGCTGTTGGGCTGCTGCGCTCTGATGCTTGTGGTGTGTATAAGATGCTACAGGTGGCGTGGTGGCCTTATACTTGCGCATGCCGCCCGCTTCGCGATATCCCTTGTAATGGTATACGATGTCAATGTCGGACGGCGCAATGGAGCTAGCGTTCTCCAAATCGTAGTGCTCTGGATATTCTGAACCCAGATCTACGGAGCTTCCGTGATCGAGTGGGTGCAGTGGATTCGGTGGCGGTATAGACAGGTGATGTTCCTCTCTGATTGGTGGGCTCTTGCCCACTACTTCACGTTCAATTATATCTGGTCGTTGCGGACGCTGCTGTGGCTGTGGATGGTCTGCAGTAGTCGGCGGTAGCTCGCTTCGTTCCTTGAATTTTTTCGTAATCAGCTCGGGACCAGTTAAATGATGGCCAGGCGGCCTCATGTGATCGCTGTTAGTCACAAGTGGTGCAGGCGAATCGTTTGAACCAGCATGAATACTACGCGGCAGCACATGATCAGCGGCTTGGCTTTGCGTGGCTGGTGCGGGTGGGTGTTTAATTTTGAATCCCGGTACACCACAGCTAAGGCTACCAATTTTCTCCTGTTTGCCTCGAAACCGATAGATAATGTATGATCCGAAAATAGCCACAACAAGTATAACGAAGAACACAATAACCAGTGTGATGCCAATGCTGAGCGGATCAGCTACTTGGGCTGCATCCGTACCAATATCTGATCCACTGCAGCCCATCTCAACATTTCCATGATGCACCACTTTTCGGAAAATGCTGCCAGAGCCGTTTAGCGGCTGCAATTCATTATTGATGGTAAAGTTGGCAATACAGCCACTAAACGGCTCTTCCATTACTAAACCACTCAAGGCGCCGCCTATGCTGAGAGTAGAAAGATATGGGTCAAGGAAGTCATGCACGCCCGCAAGGTCCAGCTCATCACCCACTTGATGTCCGTCAACGAGCAAGTAGAGAGTTCGACTTTGGCTGTGCAGACTAACGTTATGCCATTTGCCATCATTTAATGCTGCTGGCTCCGGCACAGTCATGTTGATTGATAGATGCTGCTTGGAGTAGTAAACGAGTCTGCCATCCAGGAGAGACAATGAGGTGTACATCTGATTGGTGGCTGCATATAGGATCAGTCCATGACTCTTGTATGTGCGGAAGAGAAAACTCAGTAGCTTCGGAGGCTCATAGAAAGACGTTGTCAGAGCACTTGCATTGTATGTTGAAAGGCGCTTGGTGCGCGTGCCTAACGTGGACCATGCATTGTTTCCATTATAAAGGTTATCCAGGAGCTGCATGCGTCGGTATTGCTCAGAAATTTTGAATTCGATGAAACCTCCATTGCTTATTCTGACAGGATCCAGAGAGTTTCCGCAGTCGGGGGAGAGCAGCTGATCGCCGCATTGGCAAAGCGACGTCGACCAGCGATCAATGCACTGACCCGCATAGCTACTGCAGCGCTCTACTGCTATAGCTGGCTGACAGGCATTTCTAATACAGCCGGGTAGAACTCTATTCTGTTGTATGGGTGAGCTCAAATTCAATGCGCGTCCATTTATAGAAACGCTGTGAACGCAGCCAACGAGATCGTCGCTGTGTATCTGCCCAGGGCGCTCGAGGACAGGATCTGCTGACTGCAAGCCTCCAATCAACAATGGCTGTCTATTGAAGTTAAGAGTTCTGTAATAATAGCAATGCGATAATTATCATAAATAGTTTTATTATGGGCTTAGTCTATAGTTCTTACCCCACGGGCACAACGTCATCCGCATAGCAGCTGGAATCGCCGGGAATACACTCAGCGCATACTTCGCCGGATTCCGTACATTTTGCGATGCTCAACGACATGACACGTCCATTGCGAGTGGCGGTGACTTTATTCCAGTTTCCATCCGCGAGATTGAAGCCGGCTGTAACAGTGCTAATAGCAGTACGTGAGCCGCCTGATGAGAAAACTGCCTGACCCTTGACCAACTCAATGGCCAGAAAATCAGAGCGTCCGCCGTTTTGCAAGCCGTAGTTATACACCAAGAGTGCTGTCGGCTTAGTTGTGGCAAATACAATAGAAATGTCGTTGGTGGTTGGGTCCAAAGAGGGAAAAGTCATGAAGGAAAGCGGCTCAAACCCAAAGCTGAAACGCTCGCAATGGCGTCCAAAGCGGCCAGATGGACAACTACATTTGTAGCTGGGCTTTAGACTGACGCACAAGCCACCATGTAAGCAGGGATTTGGTCGACACGAATCGGCGATACTCTCACACTGGCTACCCCGATAGCCGGGTCGACATAGACAGAAGTATGAGGCGCCATCTGGGCTGCGCTGACAGCTGCCGCCATTACGACAAGGCTTACCCCAGCAGACATCACTGCGCTCCTTTTGGCACTGCTTACCATCACGATTAGCCGGGCACTCGCACTGATAGTCATTGCCCATGCGGCGACACTGGGCCTGCCCCTGGCACGGATTGGGTAGACAGGGATCTTGGCGCCTGGCGCACTGCTCGCCTGCATAGCCTTTGGCGCACTGGCAAGTGTAGTCGTGAATGATTCGTGGTCCACTAAGTACGAGCGCAGGGCTATCGATGCTCCTGAAGTGGCTTGCGTCTAATAGTCGAATAGAAGCACTGCACACGCCTCCGTTAGCGCACACATTGGGGATGCTGCACGGCTCGTAGCCGATGATAATTTCGGTGTGCAGCAATTCGGACAGCGCAGAGCGTTTCTCACGCACGCGCTCGATAATATGTGATGGCTGTTGATATGTAGAATTGAATGCGCGCACGACCATGAGAGCTTCTAGGTCTGTATTGCTTGCATTATTGGCCTCCACTTC